AAGCTCGTGCCAGGAGCATGCCTGGTGCATCCAAGCGCAGCCAGGATGCAGGCACACGCCACGAGCCGGGTTTCTATCATGTGCGTTCCAACAGATGCAGTAGAGAAGGCGATTGGTTGTAGAGTGTCATCGTGAGCAAGTGATGCTGTGAAGATTGATGTTCGACCTTGTGGATACTTTTGCCTTTGTTCTCGTCTGAAGCTGCTTGGACTCGATAGCTCCCCTGGTCAGTTCCGCCTTTCCAATAGTTGGGCTCATGGATCCCGAATCCGGGGCAGCGCCGCAGATGCACTTCGCGCCCAGCCAGGATGGCTCCCAGTCGTTGGGAGTCATGCAGCAGATGATCCACGCCTTGCTTTCGAAGCTCAAGACCCTCCTTGATTCTTTTGGGACAAAGCAGCAGTCAGTAGGTGTGGAGAACCGGTTCTACTTTGATGAGACCGAGAAAATCTGGAAGCTGCAAGGGGGTGAGACTGAAGAGGAGCGAGCGGAGGCTGAAGCTTTCCGGTTTCACACAGGTAGAGGCCTGTCATCCAGCCTGGCGCCTGCAACCACGGCATGTGATGCAACACGGGGTGACTGGCATGGTGGTGGTTTGCCACCGCCCCCGCCGGCCATGGGGCCCGTAAGCTCGTCTTTGCATGGCGCTGCTGAGCCCTCGCAGTCAATGCCATGTCTGGCGCATCCCGTGTATGCTCCGCAGGGCTTGGGCCAGGCACCACCGACAGCACCAAATCCACGACCAAGCGAGGCAAGTGCTGCAGGTGCTCCTCCGCTTGCAAATCCTTTTGCCCAAATCTCAAAGCCGCTCTCCACACCTTTCGGTGCGCAGGGCCAACAACGGCCTGTGCTGGCATCTCCCTTTGCTCCGGCGCAGTAGCCGAGTGAGCTGTCGAGTCCCGAGCCCGCTCGTAAATTCAGATTGGTTTCACCTGAGTTGGGTTTGGCACCCTCAGTCAGAAGGCACAGACACTGGCAAATTCCGCGAGCGGGAAACGGCGACTTGCAGTAGCTGCATGGTGCAACACCAAAAGCAGGCAAAGCCAACCTGAATTGTGGCACAGGTTCCGGATCGAGTTCCAGATCACGCCTCGATCGGTGCTGGTGACTTGGCTCAGGACGGGCCATGTACATTGCCATCCGGCAAGGTGTGCAGCCGCCACAGTCGTGTGATCTTGCATTGTTGTGAACAATCCAAGTTGTGAACAGTAGTTAGAGAAGAAAGAGTATTAGAAGCATCACCGTTGGATGTGGGCTTGCATGCAGGATCTCCGATGATGCGTGAGTTCTGCAGCTGCCTTCCAACTGGTCAAGAGCCGCACTGAGTGCCAGCTCCAGTCCATTCTTCTCCCTTTGCAACTGCTCTGGTTGCCAGCCGGTGCGCGAAGAGATTCTACATCTTCAAGCTCTTTGCATGTGCTCGTATAGCTTGTATCATATATCACATTCTATCGCTTCAATTCGAGCAGCATGTTCAACTATGAATTTGAATTTGTTTGGCACGCGCAAGAGCTGTTTGAAGAGAGGTCCCCGCAACTGTACAGACCGCAGAGTCTTCCCAGGTTGCGTATGTTGCATCCGCCCTTACGCAACCAGTTTAGCTCAGGTTGTCTGGAAAAGAGATGCAGCCTCCCGCATTGTGCAGATACAGTGGCTCTGTTTTGACGCAAACATCCTGTGTGCACGCCCTGGAAGTTGCGGCTTCTCGTAGAAGGATTCGGAGTGCCGGCTTCGCCGGCAGCCAGCCATGGACGACCTGTGGCAAATCGCCGGCGGGTTATGCTCTGTGATAGAAACAGCCGGTGCGACTGGGCACCCTGTGCACACAAAGATTACGAACAGTGGGGTAGCTGTGGGTGAGCTGAGCGAGCTGGACAACAATGAGGCTCAGAGCAGGAGCCAGGAGGCCCAGACGCGGCGTTGTTGGTGCTGCGCAGGGCGTGAGAGCGCCAGAAGCTTGCGCGCCTCGGGAAGCGAATTCCTGAGGTTCGAGGATCTTTTGGGGGCAGTGCTGGACCCTGTTGCCAGGCTTGTGCGATTGGTTCATTGCCCGATAATTTCTGGAACCCGAGCTCGAAGAGACGTGTTCCTGCACATTGGTGGTGGCGAGAAGGTGCTGGAAGCTGTGAGAGAATGGGCCAGTCAAGTGAACGACAGGTGTACAACAAAGGGCCTGCGGAGATACCATGTTCTCATCAATCCAGCGAGTGGCAGCGGAAATGCTGCATCCACATGGCAGCAAGTTCGTGAGCTCTTCGCCTGTCTGCCTTTCTTGGAGATCACAGAGACGCATACAACGCGTGCTGGGGAAGCATGTGAGATTGCTTCCCAGCTAGACCCCAATCAGTGTGACGGAATCATCGTAATCAGTGGCGATGGCATGGTGCACGAAGTCTTCAACGGCCTCGCCCACCGCAGCGACCGAGGGGAGGCCCTGCGGATCGCCGTGGGCCACATCCCAGGAGGGAGCGGGAACGCCCTTGCCAAGAGCATCCTCCACTCCAGCGGTGAGGCGTTCGGTGCCTTGGAGGCGGCCTTTCTGATCGCAAAGGGCAAGCAGAGAGAGGTGGACCTGATGACCGTCTCTCAGCCGAACCAGCCAGACCGCATCTCCTTCTTGGGCTTGTCCGCTGGTGTCATTGCAGATGTGGATCTTGGTTCTGAGTGGCTGCGCTTCATGGGAGGCTTCCGCTTCACCCTCTATGCTGCAGTGTGTATTGCTTACCCCAGGCCGCTCGTTGCTGAGCTGCACTACTGGCCCGCCACAAGCGAGGCACCAGCAGGTCCAGCGCCAGGCCTTGACTCCGAGCTTCCACCGGGGCCATGGGTGTCCATTTCTGGGGCATTTACCATCTTCTGGTCTGCCAACATGGCATGGATGTCTTACAAAGTACACCTGGCACCTGGGCAGTGTATGGGAGATGGCACGTGCTCCCTGGTCATTCTCCGCGATGCAGGAAGGCTGGCCCTGACTCAGTTTCTACTGGCACTGGAATCTGATAGTGGTACACACCTTGATGTGCAAGGTGCGGAGAAGCTGGACTCTTGGCTTTGTCAACATGACCCCAAAATGCCGAACGCCCTCGCAGAACCCTTCAGACGGGTTTCTGTAACGAAGCAAGTCTGGTCACTGCGCACCCCCTCAGCTGAGGAGTGCAAAGCATTCCGCCTTGTTCCCGCGGCTTCCGCCGCTGGGCTTGGCATCTTCATCCAAAAGCTAAGAACTTTGTAGCACGGGGGGCCCGGGAAAGGTGTAGGCAAGAGAAACTGGCGAAGGAGCAAAGCGGGCGTGGTATCGAGAGGGGCCCTAGCTAGAAGAAGAAGAAGAAGAAGAAGAAGAAGAAGAAGAAGAAGGGGCCCTAGTTCGAAGCGGGGGAAAGAACCCAAGACTAGGAAGGGGTGCATCCCCCAACCTTCTGCTACACGGCCCCCGAAGCAGGTTCGTGGCTATTTCAGCTTGGACGGCGAGGAGGTACCATTGCAGCCCATCCAGTTCTGGCCAACGGGGCAGGGCCGCGTGATAGGCCCGGCCTGGAGATCGCTGGGGTCTAGAGTCTGCCGTTGCTAAGGCGACCGTGCAGTCTTTCTCGAGTCTCTCTCTCTTTCCTCTGTCAGAGTCACTGCGCTCGTGCTCGTATCAAGACAGAACGTTCCTGAAAGCAAGGGTTGGTCATGAAGACTGACGCTGTTCTGGGCGATTTGCCTAGAACCACACAATTGCCAAGATCAAGAAGACCAGAAAACACTAGAGCGATTGCCGCATGAGACAGAATGAATAATGAAAACGGAGCCTCGATATGGATGAGGCCCAGAAAAAAGTCAAAGGATGGCTGGTGAAAATTACGGCATAGACCTCAGGCCCCCTTGCCTTCCTTGCAGTGTAAGGACCTTCAGAGCACTCCAAGAGCACTCCGAGACGAACCCCCAAAACGAACTCCAAGGCCACTTCACTCCCCCCAGGCCTCCCCCAAGACACCAAGAAAACTCCAGGGAGGCGAGAGTGCACAACAAACTCTGAGATCGGACGAAGCCAACACGACGCAAAGCTCAGAAAGCGCACGGAACTTAGATGGGAGCACGATTTCGAGTACCCAATGTGCACGGGACGGGGGCAAGAGCGTCCAAGGGATAAGCAACAACCAGAGGCTTGCGAGGTTGCCTGAAATTTTCTAGCACTAAGACTATCTTAAAGCCGTGCATTCTCAGGTTTGGGTTCTCAGCTTTCGGCTCTTGGTGTTTAGGGTTTCCTGCGGCTTCTTGGCTTCATGGCCTGTGGGCTTCTTTGGCTTGATGGCTGCATTATGGGAGCATGCATGATGTCGGTTGCTGTAGATGCTTCCGCTCATGGCCAGTGTAAAGTGAAAGGACGACATGTCTATGCATATGGGTGCGCAGATTTTGGAGTCACATGTATACAAAAGTATATTTGTACATGATCAGATAAACGTGTTTCAGTCATGGTTTTCCAGTAATTCTCCCCCCCCCCCCCCCCCCCCCCCGACCCCCCACACTGCCGCTTGCTGTTGTAAGCCGTGCAATGCTTCCTTGCTTCATCGCACCATCAGTAGACATATGACTCCTTTCCAAAACATGTTTTTGGTACTACTAGTACTACGACTGGAAGATAGCGACATACTATCTGATAGCAGCGTCCTCGTGCTAGAGTTCATTCTCATGAGGCAAAGCCGAAAGAAAACGTAAATCTTTTCCCGAAAGAGTAGGGGAGAGTGGACCTGCCCAATGCAGCCACAACCTCCTTTGAAATCCACACGCCTTACATGTGGGGTGAAATCAACTCCGTGGTGTCATGTTTTTGGCAGGGCGGGGACTCCCCTGCCCAAGACAGAATGAATACCCTCATATAAACCCTTATAAGCCCTATGCAAACCCGAAGCCCGCGAAAGAAGAAGAAGAAGCAGAAGAAGAAGGAGAACAAAAAAAAGAGAGCGCATGGAAGGCCAAGAAGCGGAGGCGAAAGAAAGAGGTGGAGACATTGCCTCGATCTTGTGCCGCGTGTGCACTTCCAGTGAACCCTTGGAGTGAACCGCCTGCGCGAGAAAGGGTTTCGCCCAACCCGTGTCACTCCTTGTAATTGGGTTGGCGTGCTAAACAATGGGAGAGCAGAGGCAAGAACTGGTCATAAGCAACCATGGAAGGGGAAGCAAGAAACCCCCCACGCAGGCAAGGACCCACGCAAGTACGGTTGCACGAGGAGTGCAGGGTGGGATCATTCGCAAGCGCTCGCGCTGGAAACAGCAAAAAGGTGCGCCGCGCAAGCTAGCTCTGTGCGAGCGTAAGCTAAAACAGGCGCCGCGCGTAAGAACTGTTTTGTATTTGTCTTGGCGTTGGGGTTTGTGACGCCGCTCAGGAGAGGAGCGAGACTTGCTCTCTCTCCCTCTCTCTCTTTCTCGCTTGGTTTTCAATAGAGGTCAATGCCATCACCCATTGCATTGCCTCGTAGACAGACAAAGTAACTAAGTAGTTTAATACAGAGCGAGCCGATGTTTTGCTTCTGCTAGGATCTTCTCCAGATTCGCGTATGGACTCTGTGATGAATGTCTGACTCTGAAGTAGACACGGGACAAAGTCCCGATGACCTGCGCACTCCTGTCGCGCATGTCTATAGATGCGTCAGCAGTGTCAAAGCGAGACAAGCGCCCACTGTCTGAACGTTGTGTGTACCGTGCTGTACATATTTCCAGCAGGCTTTAAACAAGCCGTTGATTTCAGTGAGGATTTGCCCGGCGAGAGGGTTCAGAGAGGGTAATGGGATGCAATTGGTAGCACCAGTAGGCCAGGCACGTTTGACTTCGCAACGCGCAACAGCTTGAAACCTTCAAGCTGCAGCGTAGAGCAGCTGCATGACTAAGCCTGAGCTGCAAGAGCTGCAAGCACAGTCCGTGCGGTCGAGAGTATCTGCGTCGAGCATCAGCAAGTCACCGCCTATCAGCCCACAATAACAGCAACGGTTTGTCTACGCATCCCAATGGGCCATGTCCGTTCCGCCTCTAATCAGATGCGTCGGCGTAGAGAAGGCGCAGCATCAGGGTGAAGACTTGACTTAGGCTCAGCTGGAGGCTTGCCTTTTTTGTCGAGGCCCTGAATGGTGTCTACGAGTACACGGGTGCCCTCCATGGCCGTCCCTGCTATCGCCAGCGAGGGGCCCGATATGTCATCATGAATGTCATCATCTGCAGCAGAGAACCCAGCCGCCAAGCAAAGGACCGGACTCTCAACCGGCAATTTCGTGTGGTTTTGCCAGGACAGGGCCACGATGCTGTCAGGAAAAAGTGCTTGTGTGACGTAGAGCCCATGGCAGGGTTTTTTGTAGGGAGGCATCACGCTTGGACTTGATGATCTTGATGCATTTCATGCAGGATGCGGCGGAAGGGCCGATGTGGGCATCTGGCCTAGTGATTCTGGGCTTTCACGCTTCGGGATCGAGAGCTGTAAGGTTGTGACTCACAACACGGAGCTTCCAGGAGAGGCGCCAAGGCCTTAGCAAGGAGATGTGAATGCACCAAAACCCCACAGAAGCCAGGCGGCCTCCCAATGAGATTTTGAACCCCTAAGTCCCTAGGCATCCCTAAACGCCGAAGAGCCTTGAAACGCTTCTCACCTGAGGAATGAGAATGTTGTTGCACGAGCGCGGCATGGGGGGCGCTGGCCCTGGGAGGCCTCGTGTCAAGGAAACTGAGGTGTAGGCTTTTTAAGTGAGGGCTTCAGAGGTTTGGGGGATCTTCGGGTTGAGTCTTGGGGGGTTAGTTAGGCTTTCGGCTTCGGAAGGGTCTGCAGGTGAAGCTTTGGCAAGTCTGCTTTTTGCGTGACGATGCGTTCATGGACCAGCCGTGGCCTCACCTTCCGGGGCGAACCTCGAGCAATCTGAGTCTGAAACACCCCAAGCCCTAAACCCTAAACCCTAAGTGTCAGGCCCGAGATGGAGTTCTGCCTGGTGATTCCATCGCCAGAGCTCATCGTCCAGGCATGGGATTCAGCCTTCGGAGTTGAAATCTCCTTCTGAATACCCCAAAAAAGCCTCAAGCAGCACCCGCTTCATTGCCTTTGGCCTTTGCGCAAACCTTTTTTTTTTTTGGGGGGGGGGGGGGGGAAAGGGCAGTGCGCGCCGTGATCTCCTGAGAGTCTCCTGAGAGGCCCCAGCCATGGATGGCACGGCCACGACCTGTGGCTTTCGACGCTCCGGCGTAGTCCACAAACGTGTGGCCTTCCGCAGGAGTGCCGCTCTCTCTTTTTTTTATCATGAGCATCCTCGAAGGCTCAGATTTGTTCAAGTGAGAACAAAGCTTATTTAGGGTTTAGGTTTTAGTTTAGGGTTTAGGGTTTAGGGATTGGAGTCATAGAAGCCGCCTCTTGGCAGGATTGGCGACTCGAACGGTGCGCTGCCCATGATGTTTTGTCACGTTGAGAGCACCTGCAGCTGGTTAGCATGAAGGGCAAGCTCGACCGAGAACTATGAGGGCTGCAGGAAAAGGCTTTCACAGGCACAACTACCATTCAAAGGGTCTTTTGTTGGGGACTTGCCTTTTTCTCGAAAGCGTAAGTCTGACCCAACATACTTCGATGGCGCCATTTCTTCGATGCTCCGAACCAGCTTCAAACTGGAAGGGCTGAGCATGAGAGCGCTTTGTGAGCGGCGTGTCCGGCTGCTATACCGCGCGTGCGGGCGGGATGCTGTCTCGGATTTGGCAACAGGGCATGTCAGGGTCGCCTCTGGAACCTCGCAATCCTCGCAACCGCCCCCGTTTTTTGACTCGCACGGTCGTCGAGTGTGATCCTGATGATGGCCTGTCGCTACTGCTGCCCACGTGCAGTTCTCAGTGTATTCGGGTTGGCATGTAAGAGTATATAGGCGAAGAAGGCGTGAGCGTGTGTTAGAAGAGATGACAGGAGGGGCCGGGGAGGAGCCAGCACGAAGTGGAGAGATATGAGCAGTCGAGCGGGCCAGCAGGCGAGCAAGCACCGAGTGGGTGCTTTGAATCAACATACACTCTCATGAACGATAGCGCGTCATGTTTGCTACCGAGATCCTGGCATTACCAGCTTGTGGATCTTCTGGATGCCTAAGCAGGCTTGCCCGACTCATGCTGCCATGGCTTTCCCATGGATCCGAATCTTAGAATGCCTGAGATGTCTAAAGCTTGCCAGTCTCGCTGGCTCCTAGCGAATGTGAAGCAGGGGGCTCAGAGGTTGCAAGTGACAACAGCAAGACTTCGCAAGATGTTTGGCAATTGGTGGATCTGGTGGATGTGAAGCTGCTTGTGGAAGCCGTTGAAAGCTGCTGAAGCTGCTGAAGCTGCTGCTGAAGTGTCGAAATCGTCATGACCAGCTTCTGCCAAGGCCGGGAGGAACGGGTGTGCAGAGTGTGGTGGCAAGGAGCCACACAGGAGAAAGCCTCAAGGGCTTCAGTGACTTGTCTGAGAAGTTTTGGAGGAGTTTGCCAGATGACGGCTCAACTTGGGCATCCCTGTGGCCCTGGGAGGCTCAGCAAAAACAGAACTCGCACCAGTAGCTTTCAGACACACTGCTTCTGAAAACTGAAGCATCTGAAAGCCTGTTTGGTGCGCGATTTCGGCTTTCATGGAGGCGCAAATAGGTCCGAGGACTGTTGAACTGGCAGGTCGAGCCAGACGGATGGGAGTCTCCGACGGCCTTGACCCAAGATGGCTGTCGATGGAAGCTTGGTTACTGCTGGCAACCTCAAGGCTGATACCATCGGCTTGCAAGACGCAGATGCTGTGTGGGCACGGGTCTCAGCAAACCACTAAGAGATCGCTCGCAGTTGGCCGGGGGTGCTGTGCAGCTGTTCAGGTGGCCAACCGGGACATCCAAATCCGTCTGGCAAGCCCCGGCATTGTTGCAGCCCTATAGAACCTAAAGAGGAGCGCGCGCTTGTCCATTGCTGCATATTGCTCTGCCTTGGCCACCCACAACCTCGGCCTGGGAACCTTAATGTCCGCGTGGCCTGCGCTTGGCTCAATGGTGGCAAACCGCGAAAGTAGTGTTTGTGTTTATACGCAATGGGACATATGGTATTGTCATGCCATATGTCGTGTGCGGTTGTGGGAGTTGTGGGAGGATGTCTCCAATGTCTTAGTTAGCAGGGCTACTTTCAAGTTCTCGATCAAGTGCTGCCCCATGGTCTTTCCGTAAACACCCTCCAACGTGGATGCTGCGCGTGCTCAAAGTAGACTTCCAGAACGACGTGCGAAGATTGACAGTGCAGCTCTCTCCTTTGCCGAACAGAGGTTCCACCGAGGAGTACAGAGCTGCCTTTGACAGTATACAGCGTTCTGTTCGTGCGGGGTATAGCAACTCTGCTTGATCCTAGCTTAAGCAGCATGATTGTATTTGCTCAGTTACTCCCACCAGGCCTATGGTTCCGGAGCGACCGCCGAGTTAGAATGCATGCTTGCGTATGCCACGTTTTGGGGTCAGGGCTGAGGCCCTCCAGACGCATGGTTTTATGCGTCACAAGCAGCTCCTAGACGAAAAGGGGCTGCCACAACCTTTCTCAAGCAAACTGTCGACCTTAATCTTGATCTAAGCTGACGGGCAGGTGTTCTGTTGGTAGCAGCATGGTCACAAGGACAGGCAACAATGGTGAAGCAGGCGAAAGTTTCGATGTATGGTCCTACCGGGTCAGGCATAGCGATGGCAGTTGCAGGGGCATGCAAGCTGACAAAGATTGGGTCCGGGCAAGTGCGCAGGTAGGATGGGCAGGGCAGGGGGGAAGGGGCGCAAAAAATGTGACTCTAAGGCCCATTGCTGGACAGCCAAGAGCTCACATTGAAGTACAGGGACGAGGAGGGAGATCTATGCACGCTAACAGCCATGACCACAGAGGACTTCCTTAGGCCAACCAGGTCCTGCGCGGAGGAGCGGGTGCCCTTGAAACTCGTCGCCTTTGCCTCGCCCTGCAGGTCATATGCGCATCGTAAGGAGGTGAATGCCCCAGTTTCGGACACAGGCAGTCCGCTCCGAAGCATGGCGCCAGTGGCGTTGTTGGCATGTCTGAAAGGTATGTATTGCAGCGGGCGCTTGTCAGCGGGTGTTTTGGCCGCTCTCCTCTGCCAATTTCTGCCCATACTCGCGCAGCGTGTCTCTAGGAAGCAGGAGAAAATCAATCGGAAGGGGGCAAAGCTTCGGAAGGGTCCCGTCCTGCAGCTTCTGCGCAGTCTCTGTGAGCAGCTGGAGGCGATTCCAAACACGCCTGCTTGCGAGGCCTTGTCTGGCTATATTTCCGGCACTGACACGGGGCGTTTGGGGGATGGGCTGGCAGAGCTGTTAAGGTGCTTGGCAGCATGCAAGTCTCGGACTCGTTTGGCGACGGCTCTTGTAGCAGTAGCAGACGAGGCCTTGCGAGTCCTACCCTTCTTGTTCCCCGAGTTCGGGTCGGCGTCACCCAAGCCCTGTGCTGCTTGGGCGGCGGCCGTGGTCGGCGCGCCAGTCCACGGAGGCTTTGCTTGCGCATCCTGCCAAGTAGAGCCAATTGTTGGGCCTCGCTTCGAGCTGGCCAGTAAAGCGAGCCTATGTGGAGAATGTTTCATGAAGGACAGTTTGCAGGGGAGGGCCGAAGAGCATGACTTCTCCTGCCATCTGGCCCCCAAAGACTACAACGCGGAGGCTGCATTGGATGACTACTCTTGTGATGGAGCAGATGCAAAACTGAAAGCTCTTAGCCAACCAAACGGGCTCTTCCACAGTGCCCCGCTGTTACAAGCAGAGGGCGCTTCTCCTTGGACTCTGGGGCCAGTGCAAGTGGCTCAGTTTCTGAACTCCGCAACCCTGGCGTCAACTGCCGTTGCGGGCTTGTCAGCCTTCCTGGCTTAATGCAACATGGGACAGAACGGGACAGTCGCGTTATCCGGATCATGGGATGTTTGCAAAGTTTTCGAGGATGTATATACATCAATGGAGCATCCCCAGGATTTTCAACTTGCCCTTTTCTTGGCCTAAGGAAGGCAAGACACACACAGAGCTTCCATACGGCAAGAGGGCACCAAGGGGAGGCTCACTCGGCCTACTCCAGGTTTTATTGCCTTTCCCTCCCGATTCCAGAGGGTTCGGTCAACAGCCAGTATGCTGTCTGTGTCATGTTGCAGACGCCCCTTCTTCAGGCACCTCAACCAGTGTTGAACCTACATTCTTGCTCACGCTTTCTTTCGGCGCCCTAGGAGTACATCTTTGATTCCTTTTCTTTTGAGACTCGACGCTGGCTGGGTAGACTGGACCCTCAGCTTTGGCTCCGGAAGCCTTGGGCCCCCTGGGCTGGGCTTGGTGGAGGGGCCCCACATTTTCCGGTGGTGGCCTCCCCCAGGATTTCGGGTTCACAGCTCCTACAGTGAAAGCCACGCTTTGGGGAAGGCAAGCAGCGGCTTTGCATCGCAGGATAAACTTAAGCAAATGAGCTGAGTATCTCCGGCAACTTTGCGGCGCTACCGTAAAGAGCGAGTGTGCAGCTTTCCTGTGTTCTTCGGAAACATAGCATATTGCTAGACATTGCGAGCAGCTCCGCCACAGTAGTGCAGCATGTACCGGTGGTACGCGAATATGTCTTTGCCTGCCTCATCGAAAAGGTACCGTTAAGGGCGCTTGCTCTGTGCATCTGTGTGAAACTCCCAAATTATGTATACTCTGAATGTTTGACTCATTGAACAGATAAAACCTGTATCGTCTGATCCAATACAATCTGATAAAACATACGTGTATATATTGTTGCAGAAATAGATAAAGGAGAATATATGACCTACATGTATGTATGTATATATATATATATATTTGATATGGCCCTGTGCTTTTGTGAAGTTCTTGAGGCTATTGGCGCTGCCGACGATTGGCAAGCACCTCCGAAGATCATCTGCGGCTTCTACGAGCCGCGGCAAGAATTTCGAGCCCATTCCATGGTGACCTCCTAGGAAACCCGTACACCCCGGCCCCCCCCTCCCTCCTGCATTAAGGAGCCAAGGGGGATGGCCAACGGCCGCGTCTACTACGTTATGGTGCCCGAGGACGTGTTTTTTTTTTTTTCTGTTGTCCTCCCAGAAAGCCGAGAGTTCATGCGCTTTGAGTGCAACTGTGGGATGGCAGGATATCTCTTTGGAGACCAGCACCGGTCCCATGTGCTTGTGGTTTGCAGAGGACTTTTTGCCATCTTGCAAGGGGAAGTTCCTTGGTGTAAGCGGCATAAGCTGCGGATGTTCGGGCATCTTTGCAGGGAAGGGATCCCCTAAGGGAAGCTGATTCTTCAGTCATCACAAGCAGCACTCGCCGACATGCCGTTTCAGCGTCGACGCAGAAGTCCACCGATGCCGTCCAAGCGCCTCCGTAAACAAAGGCAGCATCTGGTCTGCATGACAGCAGTCGCCTCAGTGGCTGCCACTGCAGGAAGGCGACTGGCGAATTCCTTCGTGATCCCAAAGGGGGCACATGCGCTTAGTGTGCTCGCAACGCAAGGTTGCCATGGCTCTCGGCCAATGACTACCTCGTGGCAGCACCCTGAAGCTAGCAGGGTCAGCGTTTTGACCCGCCATGTCTTTACAGCAGCCAATGTGAAGGGAAGCGACCGCCAGGGCAGGTCCAGAGCAGCAATAGCTGCTGCAGCTACGGCTGCAGGGATGGCTGCAGGAGGGGTGCTTGTAGCAGAGGGTCCCAGCGACAAGGAACTGGCCTTCTCACAGATAGCCAAGCTTCCACGACCAGGCTTCCAGACTATCGGAAGTGCAACGTTCCTGCCTGATGGATCGCATGTGCTCTACTTGAAGAGCTCAGAGTACGGCAGCTTGTCCCGTCAGCTCTATGCCACCAATGTTGGCACCGGAGAAACGTTTCCTCTAGCTTGTACACCTCCTGGTGTTGGTGAGGAGAAGGAGCTAAGCTTGGAGGAGAAGCTTCGCAGGGAACGAGCCCGGATCATGAACACCGGCGTGACCTCTTTCAAGGTGGCTGGGAAATCCAAGGGCAGAGTTCTGGTTCCCATGGGAGGTGCCCTGTACGTGCGGGACGGCATTGATCCCCAGGCTGAGTTGAAGCGTTTGTTCGATCCCACAGAGGCCCCGTTGGGACCGGGCCCCATCCTCGACCCCCAAATTTCCGAGGACGGCTCTTTGGTCTGCTTTGTTTGGAAGGACGAGGTCTACTGCGTCCCTGCAGATGGCTCTGCAAAGCCCCGGCAACTCTCTGCCGGCGCGCGCGGTACTGGCAAAACCCATGGCCTTGCTGACTTCCTCGCGCAGGAGGAGTTGGACCGCTACGAAGGCTTCTGGATCTCCCCAGATGGTGGAATGGTGGCGTTTGAAGAGGTCACAGAGGCCCACATTCCACAGTTCCGCATCATGCACTCGGGCTCAGCGTCCGTTGGAGACGACGCACAGGAGGACCATCGATATCCCTTTGCGGGTGATGCGAACCCCAAGGTGAAGCTGTGTGTAGTCGCAGCGGATTCTGGGGACGCGGCTGCAGGAGCACCCCCGCCCGTCACTAGCTTCGATCTCACTGGGCCTTTCGGCGAGGACTTGTACCTCGGCCGGGTGCAGTGGATGCCGGATGGCTCAATCATCGCGCAGGTCTTGAACCGTGAACAAACGGAACTGGCGGTGCTGAAGCTCGACCCGAAGACAGGCTCGGTCGAGACACTCTTCACTGAGAAGACGGATGTCTGGATCAACATCCACAGCATGCTGAAGCCTCTTGGCAAGAAGGGCCGCTTCCTGTGGGCCAGTGAGCGAACGGGCTTTCGGCACCTGTACATCTATGAGCCAGGGGCAGGTGAGCTGAAGCCCGTGACCGGCGGGTCTTGGGAAGTCGAAGACGTTGCTGCGATTGATGAGGCCAAGGAAGCTGTTTACTTCATGGGAACCTCTGAGGGCAACTGGCTCGGCAGGCATCTATTCAAGGCCAGTTTGAAGGAAGGGCCTACACAGCAGATAGTGCAGCTGACTCAAGAGCCAGGTATGCACAGTGTCGTGGTCGACGCGCAGTGCAAGACATTTGTCGACACATCCAGTGCAATGGACCGTCCCGCATCGGCAAAGTTGCGCAACTTGCAAGATGGACGAGAGCTTTGCATCATCGAGGCTTTCGCTGCAATTAGAAAGTATAGTAGCCAACTTTTCTAAGTTTCATTCACGTGGTTTTCATTTTGCGCGCTCCCCTAAAATGTCCTGGTTCAGCTGAGGACAAGAATGAGGACCCTCTGATCGCCAGTCTGAACCTGAAGCCACCTGAGCTGTTCACGCTGCCATCCACAGACGGGAAGGTGACGCTTCAAGCTGCCATGTACAAGCCGGATCCTGCCAAGTATGGTGCCGGGCTCAGTTTGGGGTTCAGGCTTTCAGGCTCTCAGGCTTGGGCCAATTGGAGCCACGGAACACGATCGAACCTTCGACATTCCGATGCACGCAGGTGACGGTCCATATCCAACTGTGGTCTCCTGCTACGGAGGGCCGCATGTGCAGTTCGTCGCCAACAGCTGGGGAATGACGGTGGATCTCAGGGCGCAGGCGCTGCGCAGCAAGGGTTTCTTGGTATTGAAGGTGGACAATCGTGGCAGCAACCGCCGCTTGGATGACACAGTGGAGTGTGTCTTGTGTGTTGAGTGAGCACAGCCTGCCAGTGGCAGCTCGCGAACTTGTGTCAGAACGGCCCCCCCAACACGTCATAGCAAGCATAGAAACAGCAAAAACAAGCACGCAGCAAAGCACGCAGCAAAGCATGCAGCACGATGTCACGCATGTGACGTGTGCTTACACGTTTGAGATTCAGGGCGGGGCCTGTACTTCGAATCGCCTCTGAAGTTTGACATGGGCAACATCGAGGTAGAGGACCAGGCGGGGCAACCTCGCAGATGAGCGGAACAGGGAAAAGGGTACCCTAAGCCCTAAACCCTAAACCCCAGACTCTATGGGCTGAGGTGATTAGTGAGGGTGGAAGGTTCCAGTGACAGAGGGCATGGCAGGCGGCAGTTGTTCGATGGTGCGCAGACAAGAAGTTGGCGGACCCAAAGCGAGTGGCCCACGCCTCGGCCAAAAAAAGGGGGTGAGCCCAGAAGTGAAGAAGGTGAATCCGAGGGCCACAGACTCATGAGGCCATCTATGGCTGGAGCTACGGCGGCTATCTGAGCGCTATGTGCTTGGCCAAGGAGCGCGTCTAGAGCCTGTCATCTCTTCGGTCCGTTGATGTTTCTTTTGCCTACTTCGCCCTTTGCCCCCCTCTGCCAGGCCGGCGATGTGTTCAAGTGTGCCGTATCTGGTGCGCCTGTGACGAGTCGGAAGCTCGGGCTGCGGGCTGTTTACATGCTCAAGGAACTTGGCATGGAAACACACACACGAGAAAACGCACTATGCTGGCAGGCTGGGATGGCTATGATACGTGCTACACGGAAAGGCCCGGATGTGCCATCCAGTTTTCAGCCGTCAGCCTTCAGCTCTCTTTCTGCCAGGTATATGGGTACACCTTCCAGCAATGAGAAAGGTGGCCTCGGCTAATGTTGCCATCGTGACTGATTGCTTGATGGCTCATTTCCATGGAGTTCCATGGTCCACTGCTTCAGGTTACAAGAGCAGCTCCGTCATGGAGTATGCACAGGGCTTACATGTCTCACGACATCCTACTTCGGCATCCGAGTAGAAACGGCTGAAGATGCAATGCAAGCTATGCTTGCTTTCCGTACCGTGTATGCATAAGAGGTGCAAAACATCACCGGGGACCTACTGCTCGTTCACGGCCTAATTGACGAGCGCCTTCCTTGCAATGAACGATTCATGTCAGTCTTGTTGAACATGTCTCGCAAGCTGGCATGCGTTTACTTGCAAAGCATTGAGGAATGTGCATTTTCGTCACACGGCTCGGCTCATCAACTCCTTGATCTCTGCGCAGAAGCCGTACCAGCTGCTGCTGTTCCCAAATGCGACTTGGCGACTACCTAGCGCTAGCTGTGACAAGGGGCTGGGCGCTGGCCCAGGGTGTCGACGAGACTGCTAAGTTTACTGAGTCAGCAGTACACATTATCCAGACAGTACAGCAACACTGGGAAGGCGGAACGTCGAGAAGCAGGGCTGATGTAGTTGGAGCTGAATGTGTTTTGGTACTTTGCGTCTCAGTTTCGTAGTTCCAGCCGTGGCAGACATGCCGTTTCAGAACGACAAGGCTAATGGCATAGCTCAGAGTTAGTAATACCCCGAAAGGCAATGGCACCTTGTGGTTTCTGAGAACTTGAGATTTTTGTTCGGTCAACTTTTGAGACTCCAAGGAGAGACATTCCCCACGGAGCCAAAAGGACGGCAAGATTGGGTTTAGGGTTTAGGGTGTAGGGTTTAGGGTTTAGGGTTTAGGGTGCAGGGTTTAGGGTTTCGGGTACGGTCAGTTGTCCGAGTTTACTTCTGTCAGCTGAGTCAGAGAGTTGTCCAGGACAGGGAATACATGGAGGAGCGAATTTTCGCATTCATTCAGAGACTTGGCTTCGGCATTATGGCATGTGAAGAATAGCCCAGAGCAGACCAGATTCGCATTGTTTAGGGTTTTTAGGGTTCTTAGGGTGTTTAGGGTTCAGGGTTTTAAGGGTATTTAGGCTGTTGAGGGTTGCTTCCATGACTGTGACATGGATGTTTGGAACCTCCTTGTTCTTGTAGAGCTCGAAGCTGCAAGGAAGTCGCTGTCCTGAAGCGCGGAGTACGTTTGAAGAGCGCCCATTGCTGCAGCGATATGATAAGTCGACTTTGGGACCAGTGCAGCATGAATGCAGATTGCTTTTATGTCAGCATAGAGCTACAAAAAGAAACTGACCTCCAACAGGTTAAGGTGAGAGTGAAGACATAAGACTTAAGAGTGCGCAGTGCAATGTGCAGCACGAGCCGAAGTGCTTCCGAGTGGCGGAAGGGAGTGCTTCAAGCTTCCTGAGCTGGCTCTTCTCCGCCATATTCCGCCATGTTCAGGTGTATTGAGGAGAGCATCCTAGCACTCCTGGCACAACCGTTTCTCGCATCATGGTGCCCTTTTCAGTGGGCCTTTTTCCAAACGTAGGTTTCCGGCTGCAGGCGTACAAGCCTCAAGGCTTTGCAAGAAGTCTCCAAGGGTCATGTCCAAGACCCCACGCTGCCAAGTTAGGGACAGATGGTTTCTGCCTGGCACCCCTTTGGCAAAACGTCGGAAGACCTCCTTGCAACTGCCAAGAGTAGCTTCTACATGCTTTGACGAAGGGGATGCGCAAGGCATATGTAAGAGGACCAAACACAAGCCGACGCAGGCAATATGGCAAAAAAGGAATCATGGTTCTGCCTTGCACATGGCCTGTGGATCCCTGCACAACCCACGTTCTTGCTGTCCTCACTGCTGTCCGTCATCCGCGCAGGATCGCGGTCAGTCCTCGGCCCAAGGTTTTTTGCGCATTAGCTACCCCGATCCCGTTTTCCGTGAAAGCTTCGTCATGGTCATTGAGTCATCAGAGTGTGCTTTAGGTGGGTGGTCACGGCACCGGAGCTGCTTGGCGATTCCAGTGCAGTGCTGGCAAGAATCGCGCCCCACACTTAGTCGCAATGCCTCATGATGTCTTGGGAAGTCAGCTCAGCTTGACATCACTCTTTCACAGTTGGCCTTCTCAAGTATCAACCTGGAGTTCTAGCGATCTTGGGCGCCGGAGCCCAAACATCATCACCATCAGGTCCCGCGCGTGGTGGCCTTGGGAGGCCTGGGAATTCGTTCGCAGGAAAATTAAAGGAATAGGGCATGCTCGCCGCTGAACTAGTAGTTCGTTTCTGTTGGCAGGTGTGTAGCACTGGAATTGTGCAGACACCTGACTCAACAGCACGTATTTGTACTGTAGGCCATACCCAAAGCCCGAAATCCAAATGAGCAGGCATCCCCCAAAGTCACTGCAGCCACGATTCCTTCTGTCTCATAGGCGCATTTGGGCAGCAACACGTCGGCGGCATCTTTAATGTCCGCGACAGGGGACGCACACCTCTCAGATGTCTTGACTCTTGACATGGCTCGCCGGCTTGCAGTGTAAAGAACAGGCGCTTTATGTCTTTGGCAGGCGGTTTGGTGTCATGCTGAGGGCCATATTGCCAGCACGCAATGCGGTACCTCCAACGCATGGATAAGCTGAAAAACTCCTGATTCTCGATACTCTGATGCTTATTATCCATGATCAACTATGTCTATGTATGATGCATACACATACACAGGTACATTGACACATATTCATGTCATACCAGTTCGCTGGCGAAGCATCGTAACGAAGTCCTGTTAGAAGTGGAGCTGGTTACCATGATCAGTGCCTTGTTTTCTCATGCCTTTCGTCGAGCTCAGGGCAAACCATGGCCCTTCAGTGCCTCTTCTTCCACGCTGTGAGAAAACCATGTGCCGACTGAGACGGTGCCCCCCTGGCATGGTGGCGCCGCTCTGCTCCGTGGAGCCCGGGTCAACTGGGAGGCATCCAGAAGTAAGTCTTCATAGTCCTCGAAGGTCGTATTTTCATACATGCGCGACCTTGGGGGCGTGAGTTTGGAGATAATTTGCCGGAGATAATTTGCCGCACCAGCTTTGTGCTCGAGCTGCTTGAGCCAGGTGGCCACCGCGGCGCACGAGTTTCGAGAGGCTTCGCCCGAACTTTGCACCTTGAAGCATTCTCCCAGAGTCGGTGAGAGTCTGTTAGAGCCCATGGCAACATGCCGTTTTGGACAGAATTTTGCCGTTGCCTATGCTGGGGACCTGAATCTGCTTCAGGCTCTTCAGGCTTTAGGCCTTCGATAGACTCTCGAACCACTGGCAGGCCAGGAACATGATCGTGGAGATGGACTGTCCGTATCAGGCACGAAAACCTTCCCGCTTTGAGCGTCCTGAGTCCCCTAAATCCCACCCTAGACGGTTCCAAAACCAGAGCCTGCCAAACAAGATGAAGCGGAACAAAGCTTGGAGGCCCAGATCTGGGCACACCGCAACGCAGAACATGCCTTCGTGGGCGTCTACCAACGCCGTGGGCTGCTGGCCTCGCGCCCGTGCGCCCTCCACGACATAAGAATCTCAGGCATCTTTTTGATGCGGACCTCAGCTTACCTGGGCTGTTAGCTGTTACGAATGCAACTGCCTCGCCAAGAATGTGGAGATCCCTTGCACAGGATTAAGAATTAGGTACAGCGCGGCTTTTTCAATCACCATCCTACAGCTTCTCCCTTCAGAGAGGTACTTCATTCAAAGCGAAGCCTCCGCCAAGGCCACATCTTGGGGCAGAGCGGCACAAGAGTGTTGTACGAAGTCCACTTCGCACCCTAAGTCTTGCACTCCCAGAATTTCCTGTAGCTTCAGGAGGCTCACGAGAAGACGCAGACACATCGCATAACGGATGAGGAGGTGCCTCACACATCTTACATTGATGCGAAGAAGATAACTACAGCCCCGAATCCAAGCCCGAGCTTCGAATGCCTCACAGGATCTGTACAAGCCTGAGATCGAGGATGAGATAACTCGCTACGTTCTCTGGTACGGCGAGGCACAGGCTTCAGTAGCGCCTCCATGGCGGCATCCCTTTTGCAGCCTGCTTTGGGGCCCAGGACACCGAACAGTGGCTCATCACCGAGGACCTGCGCGCCACTGTGCTGCCTTACAAAAGGGCAGAAGCCTAAATAGCCCCTTTTCCATGCTTGGAGGAGTCTCGCCTGTTTGATGAGCAAGTGGTGGATGCCCGCTGCAAGGATAGTGCCTGGATGCCATGGCAGGCAGGGAAGCTGCCGCACTTGCATTCGGCATTAGCGGAACCCCCGATCCACTCCCGGAAGGTGTCAACGACCTGGCAAGTATCAGACGGAGATAGTGGGTTTGTGGAAGACATCTACATAAGGCCCAAGCTGGATTGAAGTGTTAAGCACAGTGTTGTCGTTGGCGGCAGGGTGGAGGACATGGTGTCCGGTCTGAAGACATGAAGAGCACGGAATCACATCGCTGTGTCACCCGTTCGAGTTTCACCTCAAGCGTTGGGTCGTCCAAAGAAGGCATGCCTTGTGTGCTTGAGGAAAAGGAGCACGTGGGTTGTGAAGGAGGAGATGGCCGCAGAGCGTGGTTGGTGGGGAAAGTGCTTGTCACCTGTGACTGCACGGAACCGGCTTCAGGAGGACGAGATGAAACTGCGAGTTGAAGGCCACACTTCTCAGCGCCATAGTGCCATGTGAAATATCCCGTAATGCTCTCGGCGGCCATTCTCGCAGAGACCCAACACACTGGACTTTTTCGGGCCTTCACCCCAACATCTGACATTTTACCTCTCGCATCCCTCGGAGCAGCGTGCTACAATGGCTGGAGCAGTAGGTCAGGGCCCCCGCCTGTCCCAAACTCAGTTTCCGGTGAGTGAAGTGACGCTGAAGTGATCTGAAGTGTGAGTTGAAGAGTGCTTGCCTTGAGGCAAAATTGGCGGTGACCACCTCCGGGTGGCCACAGGCACATAGTTGACTGGAAACATCGACATTCCGCGTGGCTGGCCGTTGTGTTTGTAGGCTTCTATGTTGTAGGTCTTTCCAGGTCTTGTAGGTTTATAAGGCTTTGGGCTCAGAGTTATGTCGCCATGAATTGAAGAGCCAGGCAGGCTTGGCCCTCCAGAAGTGTTGGGACATGGAGGCGCCGAGGGATTTGGGGCTGAGAATGGAGACTGGAGGGTGTAGGGTTCAGGGTTAAACTTAGACGGGTTCAACGGGTTTGCCCGGGGCGCTTATAAAAGGTTCCAGGGCCCAGGGGTTTGGGTTGATTCTCGTAACCGGTGCAGCCAGCGTGCGACTGTTTAAGATGTAGGGTTCAGGATATTAGGGGCTTTCTATTTCATGTTTTGGGGTGCCAGAACAAGGGGCAAAGAAGTTGGTTGGGCCTTGCTGAGCCGCACGAATTCGCCAACGACTTCTCGATGAAAACAGCTTAGACAGCGCTAGGCCACGGGCTGCCAATTGGGCTGAGAACCGAATCCCTTGAGTGTTTTCGGTTTACTAGGATGCCAAGTAGTGCCCTGACATACATATATATATATATGTGTGTGTATATCTATCTATCTATCTGTCTATCTATCTATCTATCTATCTATATGTTTTTATTTGTTTATGTTTTCATTTATGACTGTTATTGTTATTATTTATGGTATTTGGGGGGAGAGGGGGGGTTTCCCATAGCCTCCTTAGGAATGACCAGCGTTTGGGGATGCACATGTGGTTCTAAGGGCAGTATAGACTGTAGCAGCTTAGACAGGCATTGCTGGGCCCTTCATCCACCAGGCAGCACAACCACACTGTGGTTCATGAGCAAACGTCAACTGAGTGGCTCCGCGAGGAGAGAAAAGCGGATTTCGCTAAGTGGCGTGCAGGCGTTTGCAACAGAACACACCATCGGGTGCAGGTATTTCCAACCCAGATCGGGGTACCTGGAATTCTAGAGGCCCCGAGCCTTACGTATAGCCTTATATTCCCATAAAAGGCTA